GTCTAATGTTTTATTGGAAATATTAGAACCTAAGTGAGATTATACACATTTCTTTAAGCAATGCTTTGGTCATACAGAGATTATTCCTCTTTAATTTCTTCTTGGAAATATGGAGAACTGATGATTACTGCTTAACCTTAATAATTAAGCAGTGTGCTAGAAATATTTTTATCCTTGGATTTTTTTTTCTACTGAGCTATAGTAATTTCCTTTGTCTAGTCTAAAGCTATGTGTTCAGAACCTGCTTTCTTGGTAGCATAGATATCGCTGAAGTAAGTGAAAAATTTCCACATTATCGTAAAAATTTCACAGCTGATTATATTCTATTTGTCAGTATGTAAGGTACATACATGGAAAAGTTTCATGAAGAATTTCTGATCCCACTTCATGTTCCCTCTCTTGTTGCAGAGAAATCCTAAGCTGTTTCAACAGCACTTAGGCCCATTTTCTCTCCTGCTTAGTGATGTAGTACACTCTGTGATATGGATCTGAAGTTTTCTTGATTGAAGTATGTGCAGTCACAGATTCAGTGTCATTAATAATAGGAGGTTTCTTCATGGATAATTTCTGTGAGTTCTTTTACAGCTATCACAGATTTGACTTTGTACTCATTTTGAGACATTTGTTTCCATAAATGTTTCCTCAACTCTTCATTATTTTGTATACTTACATGCAAAATATTTTCAGATTTTCATATGCAGGTATATAAGGATAGCAACATATATTTGTGTTTAGTTTTATTTCATGCACACATTGTACAACCTTCAAACTATAATGATAGTACTTATATATTGATATTGATTATTGAGACTGCTTTTCCAATTAGTCTAGTAGTAGGTCTACCGGCTAAGCAACCAGTGAGATAATGACTATTGCTTTTGTCTACATTTGTGATTTTACTAAATTTCTAATAAAAAACTGAAAAATAAATAAACCAGATTCAGATATCTCAAATATATATATATATGTATGTATGTATGTACATGTATGTATAAACACACACACACACACACACATGTGTGTGTGTGTGTGTGTGTGTGTGTGTGTGTGTCTAATAGTATATCTCCTAATTGTACAATTTGGATGAAATGATTCCTTTTAGAAGCAATTTGAAAAAAATGTAATTCCTCAAATAGGCTACGGGGAAAACTTCATAAATCTTTGAGCATGGTTTGATAACAATTTTTTTATTTGGAAAGACTATGAGAATGTAAAACAGTCAATCATAAGAATTATTAGAGGGATAGAGAGATGGCTCAGTAATTAAAGGCTAGATTCACAACCAAAAATATAAGAATGATTAGGAAAGGTGACTCGTTTTATGCATGTTCTTGGACTTGTACCACTTGTAAACAATAATATATTTGGCTTCATTAAATTATTTTTAAGTAAAATATAATTTATAACCATTAAAAATCTTTGTCTACAGTGTGACAGCCTCCAAAACAATACAGAGAAACCCTGTCTCAAACTGTCTCCTCCAAAAAAAAATTTTGTTACCTAAAATGTCTTAGTCAACCGTATGGTCTAATTGTTTTAAAGATATTCTGTGGGTATTGGGAAAGGGTTTGGATGGAGGAGAGTGAATGAAGAAATGTTGTCAATATATTGTAATCTTGCAAATAAAATTTATAATAACACAGAAAAGAATATTTAACCACAGCTCAGATGGAATATTACAAAACTAATCCAACCGTCTCTACAATCTTCTCTATACAGAAAGGTATTTTTTCTTGTCAGTGCATGGGTTTCTTATTTATTATTAGATTGTGGATGGAAAATCTTTGATGTCTGTGTGTATTGATTAATTAACCATTATCTATGCTGACTGTAAAGGAATCATTTAATGAGACCAGAGGCATTCCCTCTAATTTGTATTTCTCTAGTATCAAACTGGAATGTATTTCCCTTTCTAAATATCATAGAAATGCCGTAGCTACCTGACTCTGGATGAATAGTGTGATGCTAAGAAAAAATATTTTCTCAAAACTTATAAAAGCCTTTAGTTTTGAAGAATTTTGCCTGTAAACAATACTCATAGTATAAATCAGTCATGGGGCAATAAGTCACTGCTACAAAGCAGTTCGGTATTTCTGTTTTTTTTTCTTATTCTGTGTTGTGTGCTTTATAAACATTAATCTTGGCTTCAAAGTTAATCTGAAATATTTTCTTTATTTTTCACATTCTTATTTCCTCTTAATCTGTAGTCCCACAGATTAAAAGATCTGCAAAACTCACCATATGATATACAAAATGGACTCATAGTTAGAAAATATATATTTTTGATTGTTAATGGAGTCTTGCTCTAAGAACTGAAAAACAAATAGGATAAAGTGAAAATTGTCACTTTTCTATAAACAAGCATAGAGACTGTTTTCTATTAGTAATGTTTTATATCTTGGTATCTTTTCCTTTTTATGTGGTCTTATGAAAACATAATTTTTAAAAACACATTGTACCTGCCTTATCCAAATTTTGTTTCCTTATACAATAAAAATTAAGTAGTTTATGTATTAATAAATACTGATATAAGAATCAGAATATCTTTATCAACAGCAAATATTTATTTTAAACTAATGATGGTCCTTCCCTTGTTGGATCCTCAGAGCCTGTGCCAATGCCAGATTTATATTTGCCTAACATACATGGCTTCATCTTATAATTGGCTTTGAAATATTGATATTATGGAGTCAGGGTATCCCATCAATATGTAGAAGTTGTTACATTTTCATATGGCAAACATGTTTTGTAAAATACATACCCTGAAGAGTCATTTGTTTTTACTGTAGGCAATACCCAGTGCTGAGTGTTGTCTTTAAAGAAAGAAACCAAATATTTATTGATTTATGTGAATAAATAAAAATATGATTATGAAAGACTCATGTGTTTAGATCAGTTGTAATTGCTTAGAAATGGCAATAAATATACTTACAAATTCAAATAAGGAACCGGTTATATTGTTGTTAATTGGCTTCATAAAAATTATCCTTTAAATCCTGGCTGTAATTAGCTTAATTATCTATTTATTGCCTCCAGTAAATAGGAGAAATAAATGACAATTAAAAGCACTCATCTCAGAAGTCATCTCTCCCATATAAATTTCAAACCTCTGATTCATAATTTTTATTTAAGACAACCACATGAGGCTATCAAGGTAAAATACACTTTTGTCAGTACTTTTTCCATCTAAAAACTCAACTTTTTAAAAAAATAATTCAAAATGACAAATCTGATGAAGGAGTTTCTTTCTAGCCAGTTCCTGCAGCCCTTTAGTCCCAAGTAAACAAACACATAGAGGCTTACATTAATCATAAAGAGTTTGGCCTATACTTTCTGCCCATCTATTGGCTGAAACAGCACTATTCATTAACCAATAAGGGAAACATATATTCACAGCACACACAAGGACATCCCCCATCACTTATCTATATTATGGTTAGGAAAATATGTGTATTGTTTAATTATTTTTGTCTGAGGGAACACATAAACAAATCTATGTAGAGAATGAATGATTCCTCAACTATAGATGCTAATCAATGCAAGGGATTCAAAAATATATGCTGAATTTTTGTAGCTTGAGGGCTTTGTCAGATAGACCAGTAAACCACAGCTGGAAAAAATATTAAGACTGACAGATTTGTCACTGTGTAGAAAAGAAAGTGAAGATTAGCACAGTCCTTGAACATGAGGGATGAATATCAGTTCAGAAAGGGGAAGTGTACATGTTTTACAGTGGTAGAATGTGAACTGAACAAATAAGCTAACACCATGTTTGTGATTGCAGACAAACATCTAACTACAAGGTGACTTTTCTCCTCATAATCAATCTTTCTGGAAGACATGATGGATCTTATTGTAACTCTTGTCCTCTCATGCCTAATTTGGGAACACTTTATGTCTGTTCCTCAACTAGAAACAATTGAACTAAAGGATCCTCTGATTGCTATATTATGGAGGTTATGAGTAGATTTTTAACAAACTAGGTAAAAAGATTCTTCATGGCAGACAAGAGCATTGTTATTAATCTGGTAAGTCTCATTAGAGGGAAATTTAAAAAGGGAACAGAGGAGCCCAGTCAGCATCAGATTTGTGACTGTAGTGGTTAAGCTTTAATTGTGCATTATAGCACTTTATAACCATTTAAAATGCCTGACACTGAGGTGCATTTTGATAGGATATGCAAAGATCAGATGTACCATCTGCAGACTACCTGAGAAATCCCTAATGGCAACATGCAAAGCAAAGCAGGTGAGGACCATGGAAGCATCTATATAGTGATCAGTAACATCCAACTATCAACTTGATAAAGGAATACCATTTCAAGAGAGAAAGTAAGGAGCAATGGATAAATATTTATTAAGGTCCTCATGTGTGTCAGTCATGGGAGCAGTGTCTTGCACACATAGACTACTTTAATACCCATTGTACAGGTTTCAATATGTTCTAGAATGGGCACTCAGTATACACTTGCTGTATATTTTCTCAACTCCATATTTAGCATCTTTACATTGTGTATTTGTACTAGCCATCCTGGAATAATTAACCTTTTAGAAATCAGGATCATGAGAAATAAAAAGTCCTTTCCTCACTCCCTGAGAGCAAAGCTGTTGTGCACTCACTCACCAACAAAGTCTTAATTAACTTTAAATAGAAATATGTATTATTATGAGCAAAAATATATTATAATACTAAAGGTCTGGAACCAAGAAAAATCTGGAAAATTTTTATTGAATTTAAAGTCTATTATTTACTTCAGCAGTTTTCACACAACCATAATATCTTTAGATTGCACCCATGAAATATTTAGTTAACCTGTTAATTTATATCTATATAACTGATGACAAACTGAAAAGTTTTTCTGGTTTTGTAACAGGCTTTTGTTGCTACATTTCAGAATGAAATATTTTATGATTGAAATAATGCAATGTGATTCAGTACTAAATTTATGGTTCCTCTAAAGCAATCCTTGATATCAATAACCATTCTGTGTTGATTTGCAGTGAGGCCCACAGTAATTGAAACTGATGTTTATGTGAACAGTATTGGACCAGTTGATCCTATAAACATGGTGAGTAAAAACTGTTGCAACACAGAATTCCTGAGTGTGTCTTAAAAGAGAAGGAGTAACTGTGTGATTTCAGGTAGTTTATTGTGAAGTAATTGTTTTAAGATAACAATTATTATTGCACTGATTAATTTGCTACTTTGACACAAAACAAGTTCATCTGGGTAAAGAGAACCTGAATTGAGAGAAAACCACTCTATCAGATTGGCCTCAACTGTGTGAAGAATTTTCTTAATTAATGATTCATGTGGGAGGGCAAAGCTCACTGTCCACTGGAGGTGGTGCCACATTAGGGCAGGTGTTTCAGGATTGTATAAGAAAGCATAATGTAAAAGCTATAGAGAGCAAGTTTGTAATTCTTCCATGGTCAAGGCTTAAGTTCCTTCTTAAAAGGCTTTACCCTGCCTTAATTCCTGCCAAGGTTTTCCTCAATAATGGACTGTGACCTGTGAGCCAAATAAACACATTCTTCATCGAGTTGAATTTGGTTGTGGTCTTTATTACCACAATAGAAAACAAACTAGGAAAACTATGTGTCAAGCATTGGCCAGCGGAGCTAAAACACTCCTTACCTCTTATTAACTATTAACCTTTAATTCCAAAGGATTGCATTTCAAGTGCATTAATGAATATTATTGGACCTATCAAAAGTCCATATTTAAAGAAATATGGGAGAAGATAAATTAGAAAGCCCAATGAGAAAACAGTTTGTGGTTGACTGAGAATGATAACCACCCCATTCTAAGAAACAATGTGTGTACATAATAGTGTCAGTAATGTGCTGTAACAGATAGTTCCTTTAGCACTGCTGTTAATATTTAGTTGTCCAGGGATATCTTAAACAAATAGAGGCCTGTACTAGAGAACATCACTTCAAAACTGGAGTGGAGAAGTTCAAGCTCTTCATGGGCATTGCTCATGGACACTTTCTCCCTCTACCTTCACCGTGCTTCTATCTGTTTGCTCATGCCTGATGTCTCTTTCATTCTGTTTTTGAAGATTTGTTATTCTCCTTAAAATTATGTATATTAAATGATGTAAATATAGTATTCATGGATCAAATGCTTACAAAGTCAAAAGTTTAAATTGAAAAAAAGTGTGTGTGTGTGTGTGTGTGTGTTCACACACTTGCATAGGCATTTGCCTGTCTGTGTGTGTTGGTCTGTCCTGTGTCTGTGTGGATATGAGCACATATAAGTACTACATATAAAAACAATTATGGACATATGAACACATGCACACACAAAGACATGTATCCGTAATTGCTTTTTATATGTAGTACTTATTTGGGAATGTACTTAGAGCACCAGATAGACTAGTCAAGTGATCTACAAATGAACTATGTTCCTAGCTTGTTAATCTCTTCATAGCTGGAGAACAATCATGATATAGTTAAATTTGCTAGTTTCTCTTCATCCTAGTAGTACAACATTGAGTTTAGTTTCACTTTCTTCTGAATCAACACCTAAGCATATTGATTGCCTCTTCAGAAGACCTGTGTTTGACATGTACATAAAAACACATACAAATACTAAAATGAAATTGAACAATCCTTCTGAATGTGGTGTTCTCATTGCTGACTCTGACTTCCACAGCTGTCTGTGCTGATGGCTGTAATATCAGCATTTTGATTTTAGCACAACTGATGTATTAGTTGCCTTAGGACCAGTGAATATAAACAAGAGTTTGTTAAATAGAGTTTGAGATGACAATGTGAGACACCACTGGACTGGCCTGGAAGATGCTTTCAATAATGGGGTAATACTCAGGAGAAAGACAGAGTTTCTAGTTGTTCATTAAGAATATTCTAAACCCCTTTTCTTTTTAAAAGCTAATTTCAACAAAAGTGCTATTGAAACTACTAACACAAAAATATGTGGGGAAAAATGAAAACAAAAACCACTGTCAAGAAGTGACTAACCAGAAGCCTGTGTAGAAGACAATTTTAACAGAGGAATTTGGGACAAACAAAGATCACATTTCATAAAATGAACAAAATTGCTTTGCTGTGAGTGTAGCTGAGTAATGGGACTTGAGTACAATTTAACAGACAAGAGGGTAGCTTTACATTTTTTTCTCATTAATTGCCCATACAATTGCAGCAAGGACAAAAATACTCACGCACTCTGTTAACTGTTTTATAGACCTGATATTATCTTTGTTACAAAAATGTTTTCTTTCTTTTGGAATATGCCTACATTAGGAAGCACATTATAAGAACTAAAATACTGTTTGATAATTAGATACAGATTTCTTCACATTGTTTCGGTATTGGATTATGAATTTGTCATTGGGGTATTTGATATTAACTGCATGGATGGATCAGTCAATGAATAGTTCATTTATTTTATTCTTGTCTTGAGAATTTGTAGTAAAATGAATGCAGAATACACTAATGAAAGCTTAAAAGAACTAAGTAATGTGAAGAAGCATTATGGTTTGCTTATATTCTAATTAAAATGATTAAACATAAGTAGAAAAGCAGATGTACCCAGATCTGAAGGCAAGATGATGTCAAATGATGTTAGTGGAATGGAAGTGAAGTTCTTCCTTCCTTCTGGTGAATTTTCAGTCTTTGAGAAGCAGATATGAGTTTACTTTGTTGATCACCTATAGCCCAGTAACCTTCTGACTAGTGGGTAAAACCATCAAGGGTTAAAGCTATTCCTCCAGCAAAGTCAAGAGAGAGGAAGGATATAGAAAGTAAAAAATATCTTGTCCACCCACAGGTGATTACAGCAGGAGATTAGAAGGTATAAACACCATCTCTTTGACAGGTGTAAACATGCACTGGATATGGGTTCCTCAGTGGAAACACTGAAAATGAAAGACGGGAAAAAAACAACCTTTTAAAACCTGGGAGGGAGAACCCACACCACATGTGCAGACTACTATTCTAGTCATAAGAGTAGCCTGTCAGATAGTCAGAGAATACAGTTTCTGAAACTGCATGGATCCTTCTTGCCAGAATTTCTTTTTTTAAATTTATTTTTCAGTTTAAATTTAGATAAGAAACAAGGTTGCTTCACAAGTCAGTTCCAGGTCCCTCTCCCTTTCCTTCCCCTCCTCCCATACCCCCCTCTAATCCCCCCATTATCCCCTCATTTCCCCAGGGAAGGTGAGGCCCTCCATGGGGTGTCCATTGTCTGTCATTTCATACAGGGCAGGGCCTAGACCCTCCCCCAAGAGTTCAGGGTGAGAGTGCACCACGCATTGTTGGATGGGAGTCCAAATTCTGTGTGTATACTCGGAATGAGTACTGATCTTGCCAGAATTTCTATCTGACATGCTATTGGAGACAGTGGTGAGGAACAGGGCTCCAGATGCAAGGTTTGTAATTCAGAGATAATCTGGAGAATCAGTGGAACTATATTCAAAAGTAACTAACTGCTGGAATAGACTGCATGGCCAACAGTACAAATACGATTGGGTCAAAGTAGTAAATAAAGTGAAATTATATTAGTCAATATAGAAATAATTAACAAACATGGTCATTTTCAAATTAGTTGTGAAGGAAAAGAAAACCCAGTAGATTTTGTTAACAAATGCTCTTGTAGACCTGCAAAATCAGAAGTGTAGTTCAAAATGGATTGAAGATAGAATGTGGTCTTCTTGAAGCACAAGGAAGAGGTTTTGCTTGGTTTTGTTTTTCACATATTTAGTGGAATGGGAAATTGTCAAAGCTGTGGTGTGTTTGTGTGTGTGTGTGCACGCATGAGAGAGGGAGTTATATGGAGTGGGCGGGAGAGAAAGAACTAGATGATGGAAATAGGGAGAGAAAGAGATGCAGGTGGGGAAGAAGGGAGGGTATGTATGTGCTCATGTCTGTGTCTGCTATCTTTGTGCTGAGAATAATTACACAATGTGCCTGAGTTTCACCGTATTGTCCCATAAGGGAAAATGGCAGATGCCCTACTGCTAATCTCTGTGAATCGATTCCCGCCCCGCTTGCTTTCCTCTTTTCTTCTCAATTACTTTTGCATTTAAGAACAAAGTGCATGAGATGTAACTTTTACACATCAAAGAAAATGTTTTCTTTCCTTTTACTATATTAACAGGAAATGTTACTGTGCCAAGTACATTAACTTGAAAAATTATCCACATTAAATATGACACAAGAAAATAATTTTTTTTCCTTCTCAGACTAGGTAACTTGCATGTACTGTGCTGTGGAGTGAAGAAAATGATTTTGGAACTTGGGCGTGATGAACACTTGTTGTGTTTGAAGAAACACAACTTCACTCCTCGGTTTATTTCCATCATTTCTATGATACTTATGACTACAGTGTAATTTTCTTACATATGCACACATATTGACTTTTCTATTTTTATTTATTTTATTTTTAAATTTAAATTAGAAACAAGGTTGCTTCACATGTCAATCTCAGATCCCTCTCCCTTTCCCACTCCTCCTCCCATGCACTCCCACCAACATCCTCAATACTCCCTCATTTCCCCTGGGAGGATGAGGCCCTCAATGGGAGTGTCCATAGTCTGTCATTTCATCCAGGCCAGGGCCTAGACCCTCCCCCAAGAGTCCTGGGTGAGAGTGCATCTCTCATTGTTGGATGGGAGCCCAAAGTCCATTTGTATACTGGGATAAAAACTGATCTACTACCCAAGGCCCAATAGATTACCTAGACCTCCTCACTGACACCCACATTCAGGGGGTCTTGATCACTTCCATGCTGGATTCCCAGCCATTAGTCTTGGATTCAAGAGCTAACCCTTGTCAGGTCAGCTGTTTCTGGGGTTAAACCAACCCAGTCTTTACCCCTTTGCTCATTAGTCCTCCATCTCTGTCACTGGGTTCCTTGAGTTCAGCTCAGTGTTTAGCTGTGGGAGTCTACCTCTGCTTTCATCAGCCATTGAATGAAGGTTCTGTCCCAGACTCTCTGGCCATGGGATTGTATGCTGGCACTCCCCAGATCTATGTCTAAAATCCATGTATGAGAGAATACATGCAGTGTTTCTTTTTTGTGACTGGGTGACCTCACTCAGGA